GTATGGCCATGTTCCAGCATGCTTCTGGAACATGTCCATACAGCCCAGAAAACTCACAGCAACCCAGTGATTCTGGCCATGAAAGCTTTTGACAACAGTCTGACACATGTTTACAAAGGAGATAAGTCTGCTATGCATGTGGAATCTACATTTTAAACAAGATATATTGGATCAGGCTTTGTGAGACCATGCTGATGGTTTCTTTCTGGTGGAAATGTGTCAGGGAGAAATGGCAATATTTAGCCCTTTGTGAGGGAGGAGAGAACAAAAATCATTTTTTAAGTTTACAAGTAGATGGATTAAGGTTAAACATTCCCACTAAGGCATTTCAGCAACAAAAGGTTTACCAAAAAAAAACCCCAACGATTAAGTCACAACTGTCCTTCTACCTAAGAATTTACCATAAGGAGCATAAAATCAGATGGCATAAATAGGGACATAAAATTTACAATAATAACCAGTAGATATACCACAGTTTGTCTTTAATTTGTGGTCCATTTTTTCCTTCCTCAATTTCCCTCATACACCTTCTCTGCTACATTCCATGGAATTTTAAATCAATAAGGGTTTATACAATATTTTGTGTAAAATTCCTTACTTTCTTCCTTTTTCTTCTTTTTCTCCTTCCACCCTTCCCCTGAAACACATGTCACCTAGGAACAAGCAACATGCTTCACTCTATTTCTTTCCCAGTCACATGACAAAGGGTCACTTCACCTAACCACAGGCAATCTACTTTATTCCTTTTCTTTCCCTTTGCTCTAGACCCGAAAGGAGTTTTTTTTAGTTCAAAACCCTAAATGATTTGGATAATGAAAGATATGTGTGCCAAGTTTGGTTCAGGTCAACCAAGCCACATTGGAGCTTTTATGATACCAGCCAACCATCATACATACCCAGTACCCGCATGCTTTGACCTATGTATATATCCATCATCATCATCATCATCATCTTCATAACTTTAAAAACCAAAAAGTAAATCACAACACTGTTCCTAAGTATTTACCATGAGGAACATGAGAGAAGACAACACAAAATATACTAACAACACAAAACCCACAATTAATAATAATAAGAATAAGAATAATAAAAACAAAAATTAACATTTGGCCTAATAAGAAAGAAAATACGACAAAACAGCACAAAATATGATAGGGGAATAACATCCAATAATAATAATAATAATAATAATAATAATAATAATAATAATAATAATTTAAAAATCAAAAATTAGCATCCGATCTAACAATAAAGAATATAAGATATGATGGCCTAAAATACAATAAGCACATAAAATTCACAACATATATTGATCCAATTTATTTATGTTAAATTTCAATTGTTATGTCTTACTTTTATTTCTTTTGTTATACATTTGTATTGTTGCAATTTTTGTTGTATATTTTATGCTGCACTGGTTTGTATTGTTGTCTTGTAAGACGCCGAGTCCCTCTGGGGAGATGGGGTGGGATAAAATATAGTTGTTGTTGCTGTTTAATATATTATATTATTAGCATAGCACAATATTGGTATTTTAATTATTTATTGCATTTATAAATAATTATATATTATTTTATTGTACTACAACTATAGCGCAATATTATTAGTAATATCATATGCAATATATGATATACAATTTTTACATTACCATATATTATATTGTACTATATGCATACACACATACACATTTTCATTTTTTATTATGTTTATATATAATGCAAGGGTTGGATGAAAAGTAATGCCACCACCTTCGCTACTTGTGTTTAGATGGGAATATTTTAATAAATCAAACGCAGATATAATCCTTAGAATGTGCTTTTTAACTACCACTATTCACTTTTCCACATAATCACCAGACAATTGGATACATTTCTGCCAACGATGAACATAATTTCTGAAGCCGTCACGGAAGAAGTCGACACTCTGTTTCCGCAACCAGCGTCTCACATTCTCTCATTCTGGGTAGCCATTGTGCACAGATCTTCCGATAGCCTAGCAAAGCAATAATGTGACCCACACGTCCTTGTGAAATGCCGATTATGCTTGAAATTTTTCTCTGAGTGATATGACAATCATCCTGAATCAATCTGTCAACCTTTTGTAGTCACCTCACTACCTCTGAGGATGCTTGCCATAGATGCAGGCGAAACGTCAGGAGAGAATGCCTCTAGAACATGGCCATATAACCCGAAAAAACCTACAACAACCTAGTGATTCTGGCCATGAAAGCCTTCGACAATACATGTCAACCTTTTGCTTGTGAAACTCGGTGGTTGCTGTCACAGGACGTCCAAATCTTTCTTTGTCATGCAAGTCAGATGTTCCCACCTCAACATCTTTAAACTTGGGTTGTTGTAGTTTTTTCAGGCTATATGGCCATGGTCTAGAGGCATTCTCTCCTGACGTTTCACCTGCATCTATGGCAAGCATCCTCAGAGGTAGTGAGATCTTTAAACTTATTCACCCAACGATGCACAGTACTCACATCAACACAATCACCATAAGCAGCTTGCATTTTGGGGGTGACACCTTCTGCTGTCAAAAATTCAATAACTGCATGGTGCTTAAGTCGCATTGACTGACTGTCTGGGCAGGGTTCCATACTTTGCACTTTAACGTTCAATGCTAAGGCTTCCTGCCAAAATGGAACTGCAAGGAAGGGTCTACTGAACAAGCCAGTACCTGCTGCATACCATGACTACCATCTGTTGAGGAGTTATGAAGGTAGAGGCATTACTTTTCATTCAACCCTCGTATATTAGTAGTATTTTTTGTTGTTGTTCATTCATTCAGTCGTTTCCGACTCTTCGTGACTTCATGGACCAGCCCATGTCAGAGCTCCCTCTCGGTCGTCACCACCCCCAGCTCCTTCAAAGTCAATCCAGTCACTTAAAGGATACCGTCCATCCATCTTGCCCTTGGTCGCCCCCTCTTCCTTTTTCCTTCCATTTTCCCCAGCATAATTGTCTTCTCTAAGCTTTCCTTTCTTCTCATGATGTGGCCAAAGTACTTCATCTTGGCCTCTACTATTCTTCCCTCCAATGAGCAGTCAGGCTTTATTTCTTGAAGTCTGGACTGGTTGGATCTTCTTGCTGTCCAAGGCACTCTCACCACTTTCCTCCAACACCACAGTTCAAAAGCGTCTATCTTCCTTCACTCAGCCTTCCCTATGGTCCAGCTCTCACATCTGTAGGTGACTACGGGGAATACCATGGCTTTTACTATGCGGATCTTTGTTGCCAGTCTGATGTCTCTACTCTTTACTATTTTATCAAGATTGGTCATTGCTCTCCTCTCAAGAAGTAAGCGTCTCCTGATTTCCTGGCTGCAGTCTGCGTCTGAAGTAATCTTTGCACCTAGAAATACAATGTCTGTCACGGCCTCCACGTTTACTCCCTCTATTTCCCAGTTGTCAATCATTCTTGTTGCCATAATCTTGGGTTTTTTGATGTTCAGCTGCAACTCAGCTTTTGCACTTTCTTCTTTCACCTTGATTAGAAGGCTCCTCAGCTCCTCCTCGCTTTTGGCCATCAAAGTGGTGTCATCTGCATATCTGAGGTTGTTAATGTTTCTTCCAGCAATTTTCACCCCAGCCTTGCATTTGTCAAGTCCCGCACATCGCATGATGTGCTCTGCATACAAGTTGCATTATTAGTAGTATTACATTACAATCAGGGGCGGCTCGTCCATTACGCGAAGTAAGCGGTCGCAGAACACTTTTTTTTGCCAGGGGCGCTGAGGCCCCTCGACTGCCACTTGAGGAGCGCCCCCTCAGCTCACAACAGCCCTAGCAGTCCAGGGGGAGCCTTGGCTTTCTTGCTTCGCTGCTGGGCGATCCTCTTCCCAAAGGGGCCGGGTCCTTGAGCCTCACCTAGCCCCTCTCATTCCTGCTCCACCTGGCCACCGGGTGCACGAGCAGAGCCGGTGCTCAATCGTTCTCCACGTTCGATCCCTTCCCCATGACCGGCTCCCTTTCCCGATCCCCCGGCGCTCCACCCACCTCCTCTCCTCTCCCCAATCCGCGGGTGGGCCAAGGGGCGGAGCCGCCACGCCTGGCCCGCTTCGGGTCCGGAGGCGTGTCTGAAGACCCCAGCGTGCGCACCAAGAGTCGCCTCTTCTCCTGACTTTCTCTTCAGCCATTGGGACCAGAGAGAGAGAGAGAGAGACCCTCCGGCTGGAGGTATCTCCCACCTCCGCTCCCTCCTTTGTTTTTGCGCCTACCTTCAGGAAAGGTGGGCATCTCCACCTCTGTCCCTCTCTCTCTCTCTTGGTCCCAATGGCTGAGGAGAAAGTCAGGAGAAGAGGTGACTTTTGGTGCACACGCCGGGGTCTTCAGGCACGCCTCCGGACCCAAAGTGGGCCAGGCAAGGGAGCAAATGCGGCAAGTGTAGTTACTGGGATGTATAGTTCACCTACAATCAAAGAGCATTCTGAACTCCACCAATGATGGAATTGAACTAAATGTGGCACACAGAACTCCCACGACAAACAGAAAATATATATCAATGGTTGGGGGGGGGGGGGCAAAATACTGTTTGCTTACCGTTGAAAATTACCTAGGGCCGCCTCTGATTACAATAAAAATCCAGTGAGAGGGTGCTTCCAGACTGCATAATGTATGCAGTTTGACACCATTTGAACTGGCCATAGAATCCTGGGAGTTGTAGTTTCAAAAGTGTGCTGGTGCCTCACCAAGCCTACAACTCTCAGGATCCAGTAGCACTGAGCCAGGGCAGTCCAAGTGGTGTCAAGATTACATTAATTCTATAGTTTCAGGGAGTGGAGGGGAGAGTGTAAGCTCACCTGTCTGTCTTCAGCTGCTAGTGGGCGGGGCTTAGTGGGCCGAATCCCAGAGGGCGCCTCCAAGCCCCTTTCCCAACCACCACCATCACTGAGGAGAAGCCATTGACGTCATCGCGCTCGACGCCCTGCGCGCGCCCTACGTGCCTTGCGTCCTGCCTTCTCCCCGCCCCTTAGGCGTTCTCAACCAATACGACGAAGGCGGAAGTGATTAGCGGAGGCGGAAGCCGGAAGTGCGGAGGGATTGTATTGTTGTCGGAGACGCTGCTGTTGGCTTCGCGGGTGGGGTTCGCCATGGTCTGCGAAAAGTGTGAGTGGAAAAGACAAGGATATATATAGTTTTGAAAGAACTATATAATGGAATATTGTCGAAGGCTTTCATGGCTGGAATCACTAGGTTCTTGTGGGTTTTTTCGAGCTATAGGGCCATGTTCTAGAGGCATTTCTCCTGACGTTTCGCCTGCATCTATGGCAAGCATCCTCAGAGGTAGTGAGGTCTGTTGGAGTTAGGAAAATGGGTTTATATATCTGTGGAATGACTGGGGTGGGGCAAAGAGCTCTTCTCTGCTGGAGCTATGAATGTTTCAACTGACCACCTTCATTAGCATTTGAAGGCCTAGGAGTAAGGAAGAGACCATGAAAATGAACAAAATCTGGCTACCAGTATTAAAAAACTCTAAAATTACAACAGCAAAACAACAGAGAGGAAACAACCAGGCACAGATTAACACCTCCCAGCAAGAGATTTTCCCAGGCTCAGGCAGGCCTTCAAATGCTAATGAAGGTGATCAGCTGAAACATTCACACCTAGCTCCAGCAGAAGAGCTCTTTGCCCCACCCCAGCCATTCCACAGATATATAAACCCATTTTCCTACTTCCAACAGACCTCACTACCTCTGAGGATGCTTGCCATAGATGCAGGCGAAATGTCAGGAGAAATGCCTCTAGAACATGGCCATATAGCCCGAAAAAACCCACAAGAACCTATATAATGGAGTGTTGTTATTGTTATTGTCTGAATGGAGACAGTTTTCAAGCCCCTACACCAGGCCTGCACAAACTTGGGCCTTCAGGGTGTTTTGGACTTCCACTCCCAGAATTCTTAACAGCCTACCAGTTGGGAGTTGAAGTCCAAAACACATGGAGGGCCCAAGTTTGCCCAGGCCTGCACTAAACAGATATATCCCCTTTGGGGTGGGAAAGGCGGCATATAAATGCAGTAAATAAATAAATAAATAAATAGGTTCTTGTGGGTTTTTTCGGGCTCTAGGGCCATGTTCTAGAGGCATTTCTCCTGACGTTTCGCCTGCATCTATGGCAAGCATCCTCAGAGGTAGTGAGGTCTGTTGGAACTAGAAAATGGGTTTATATATCTGTGGAAAGACCAGGGTGGGACAAAGAACTCTTGTCTGCTAGAGCTAGGTGTGAATGTTTCAACTGACCACCTTCATTAGCATTTGAAGGCCTGCCTGAGTCTGGGAAAATCTTTTGTTGAGAGGTGTTAAGATGTGCCTGGTTGTTTCCTCTCTGCTGTTTTGCTGTTGTAATTGAAAACACGCCAGACTTCCTCAGATTGAGGCAGGTTTTCAGCCCTTTCAGATATTCCAGTGGAGCAAGCCCTATAAATATGTGATATTGTTAATAGAACCCCATACTGTTTTCCTCGTTTGAGTTACTGAGGAAATTGCATCTCATGCAAATTTTAAAAGGTTCTTTCCAAGTGTAAATTTCAGCGAGAAACCTTTTTGGAATGTTGAGTTCAGGTTTTATTGCACAAATAAGTATAAAAGCATTGCACAAATAAGTATAAAACTGATAAAATAAAGGGAGCACAAGCAGCTAAATAATTTTTGACCAAAACCGGGCAATGGCAACCGCATTGTCTGTAGCTTTAAACAGGGCATTGTGGGCAAGCATACAGATGTGGTTTTTAAGACCATCAGAATTATTATTATTATTATTAACTTTATTTGTACCCTGCTAGCATCTCCCGAAGGACTCGATGCAGCTTACAAAGGCCAAGGCCTCAAAAACAGAGCATAACAAATACACAACTTAAAGCAAACTAAAAACAATTAAAGCAATATCAAAAACAATACACCAAAACACGATAAAACTGGGGCCGGGCCAAATGTAATGGGTACAGATTAAAAGTGCTGATGTGACAGGTGGTATGTCAAATTTTAGGGTAAGTGCAGTGTGCAAGCAATCTTAAAGTCTAATAAAGTGCTTCTAGGACATGTTGTTGGAGTTTTCCTATTCTGGAAAGGCACATTGGAACAGCCAGGTCTTCAAGTTCTTCCTAAAGACTGCCAACGTAGGGGGCTGTCTAATATCTTTGGGGAGGGTGTTCCAGAGTCGGGGGGCCACCACAGAAAAGGCCCTGTCTCGCGTCCCCACCAGATGCGCCTGCAACGCAGTTGGAATCGCGAGCAGGGCTTCTCCACATGAGCGAAGAGAACGTGTGGGTTCATAAACGGAGATGCGTATATAGACCCACAGCCAGTACACCAATCTTGGAATACAATCCTACTCGGACAACAAGGGATCGCCTAAGGAGAAGATCATATAGTGTTACCTGAAGCGGAGTTGGTAGATCAAAAGACAACCTGGCAAAATGGCACTACCTAGAAGAACCCTCCACTTTGTGCGATTGTGGAGCAGAACAAACAACTCCATATCTGTATGTTTGCCCACAATGCCCTGCCTCATGCACAGCGGAAGAACTATTTAAATCGATAGACAGTGTGGTTGTTGTTTTCCGGTTTTGATCTACAATGATTTAACTGCTTGTGCTCTCTTTTTTTATCAGTTTTATACTTATTTATTTGTGGTATGCTTTTGACATGAAATAAAACAAACCATAAACCCTACATTCCAAAAGGATTTCTCACTGAATATACACTTGGAAAGAACCTTTTCCAATTTGCACATTTTTTTTAGTAACTCACAACTCTGGAACTCTCTCCCTAAAGAACTAAAAATGCCCCCCTTAAAAACCTATTTATGCACTTTAGCATATGGAGTGGAGGAAGATTAGTATATCTTAATTGTATACTCTCGTTTAGATACTGAAAATCTCCCTCAGTCCTGTTGGTAGCAGTTAACCACTCCATATTTTAATGCATTTTAGCTGCTCAGTTTTACTCGTATTATGTTGGTATATGTGTGTAATGTGATATATTATGTTTATTTAAGTTCTTTTTGGGTAGTATTGGTTAGTTATTATTAGTTTATATTGATGTTTTATTTATTATGCTGATTGATTTGCTGTTTGTTTTATTATGGCATTGAATGTTTGCCACTTTTGATGGAAACCGCCCTGAGTCTCCTCAGGGAGAAAGGGCGGGTTACAAATGTATTATTATTATTATTATTATTATAAACCAGGAAAACATTATGAGATTCTATTAACAATATCACATATTGTTAATACAATATTAATAAGGGATAGGGGCTTGAAGAGAAATGGAAGGTGGACGTGGGCTTTATATATTTGACTGTATTCTCCTAAGTAAGTCCGTTTGGAATTGCAATCTTATGTATAACTTGGCAGTACATTCACTAATCTGAATAATATTTCCTTTTGAGTAAATATGAGTAACACTCATGCTATGCATCCTTCACATCCCATTATAGCATCGTATGATACTAGAATTGAAAGAATGAACTACTTTGTTTTACTAGTATCGCCAGGGGGGTAAACAACATTTCTGATGTGTTTTCAGTATAAAACTGTTCAGAGTGTCACAATCTTTGATTTGTATTTTTGCACTTTTCAATAGGTGAGAGAAAACTGGGTACTGTCATTACACCTGATACATGGAAAGATGGCGCAAGAAACACAACAGGTAGTTCCAAAACATGTGTCACTACAGAGATATGTGTTCCTGGTGTTCATTTAAGACAGTCTCTTATTTTTCTGTTGAGATGAATATGGCTAGAAAATTAAATATTAGTTCAGAGAAAGAGAAAAGTTTGAAAACCTCAGACCCTACACTGATCAGCTCATATAATGCGGTTTAACTTCATTGCACTGCATTATGTGAGTTTATACTGACCATATAATCCAATTTCAAACTGCATTATATAGCAGTGTAGATGAGGCCATAGTCTCAGTCAGGAGTTTATGTGTCTGGCTGACTATCTTTTTGAAAGTTACTAAAACTCAGTTCAAAATAAAATTGCTTTCTAATATTAATTTTCTCTTCAGTTGTTTAGTGATTGCATATTACACAATCACCATCTTTTGTAGAATCCTTATGGGCATACATCAGTCCTTGATTGCTTTTATGTCTGTTTGAATCACATTGTGTGTATCCTTGATAGCTTTTATTATGTTTGTTTATACTAGGGGTCCTCAAACATTTTAAACCGAGGGCCAGGTCACAGTCCCTCAAACTGTTGGAGGGCCGGATTATAATTTGAAAAAAACATGAATGGATTCCTATGCACACTGCACATATCTTATTCATCGTGCAAAAAAACACTTTAAAACAATACAGTAATTAAAATGAAGAACAATGTTAACAAATATAAACGTATTAGTATTTTAATGGGAAGCGTGGGCCTGCTTTTGGCTGATGAGATAGGATTGTCATTGTTGTGTGCTTTCAAATAATTTCAAACTTAGGTTGACCCTGAGCGAAGGCCGGGTAAATGACCTTGGAGGGCCGTATCCGGCCCTCAGGCCTTAGTTTGAGGACTCCTGGTTTATACCCTGCTTTTTCTCTCCACAAGGAGACTCAAAATGGCTAAGTGCTGATGCAGCTTGCTTAAGAAACTTTTTAACTGGGTAATGTGGGAATGATCAAATTTGGTGTTGATGAACTTGGTTCCGAGGATCCAGCTGCATCAGTAAGATGTCTGAACTTTAATCTATTTTGTATGTTCTCAATCTCCAAAAGACTCAGTAGGACTCCCAAATTAGTGCTAGAAAATTAGGATCCTTTGTAAATCCATAAAATTGAATCATGTTTCAAAATATTCAAAGTGAAACAACTATATAAATCCAGATTGAATTTGTGAGTGAATCAGGAGCAGTTGGTCTGCATAGTTGGGCACTACAAATGCTGTGTATCTTTTTTCTTCTTGGATGGTGTTCTTGGAAAAGACAATATCTGGGCATTATCCTTAATTTATAATGCTTTTCAAATTATATTAAAGGTTACAATTCTTTTGTTTATAGAAAGCGGTGGGAGGAAATTAAATGAAAACAAAGCGCTGACATCAAAGAAGGCAAGGTAATAACTATCTTACAATATTAAGCAAGGTGACTCAAAGTGTGGTGGGAAACGATTTGCCTGTCTATTCTCCCTTGTCTACTTTCTTGAATATCTCTTGCCTTACCATCTATGTTTGTTTTTTCCACACACAACAACTTTCCTGTTCTTGTTCTCTAATCTAGAATTATTCCTGTTGCTTTCTCACATTTTCCCACTACACTAGACTCTCACTAGTCCTATTGCAGAATGACTCCTGTGTCCACAGGACCAGTATTCATCATTTCATGTGTCCATATCTGACAAATTATGTCTTCTATAGGCATTTTCTAGATCCTTCAGTATGACACTGTGGTATTCTTGGGCCAGAAGCCCTTCATTTCAGTAGGATTCACAGTTTTTCACAGTTTATGTATCCATGCATGCAGGTCATTTGACTTGTCTGCAATTTCCTCACCAAGGGCGTCTTTTTACTTTGCATCATGGCTTGCTATGGTCATAATTTGTATTTGTTATTGAGGCATTGAATGTTTGCCTTTTTGTTTGTTGCAATCTGCCCTGAGTCTCTCAGGGGAGATAGGGTGGAATATAAATGAAGTTTTTTTCATTATTATAATTACTATTGCCACTGCATTCTCTCTGCTCAGTAAAAAGTGACCATTAGAGCAGTTATCAAAGCAGAAATGAAGCAGCAGCAACAGTAGGAATGTCTGAACAGTGGCCTTTGTGTGGTTTAAGGAGGGTCACTGCATCCCCACCAGTTAACATCCTCTGAGTTTTGGCCTCCAAAATTAAACAGGACTAATGAAATTGAACATTGGCACCTTGATTTTATACCACACTTATGTAGCACTTGGTTTTCAATCTACTGGCATGGTTTGATTTTACTCATTTGTGTAAATGATGTGAAATGAAACTTGTTTAGAAGAGTCTGATACTCAAACTGATGTCCCTTAGTGGTTCAAAAGCAATCAACTGTATTCTCGTAATTTTCTTAAGGATGTGTGTGTCTGATTACACCATGTAACAAAAATTGACAATATAACATTTGAAAAAAATACCTTCCTGGTTTGAAAGTGTTATTTCCTGTTTAATTGTGCGGTACTTACTTTGAAAGTAGTTGTTATATTCCAGGAACTTCATTTTTATGGCATCCACAAACTATGTTGAATTGGTTGAGATTCTGTGAGATATTCATTGAAAAACTATAGCAAAATGTGCTGCAGTATGTCCCGCAAAAACAAAGATTTTGCAGTTTAATAAACTTTTTCCATGTTTTGATATAACCAATTAGGAAATGACACTTATAACCCAGAACAAAAATCATGTTACATAGTGTAATTCTTCATGCTGCCCTCTCTTTACAGAGTTGATCTCCAAACCTTTGTTCCACCATTTCCTTGTGTTGTTTGTCACCTATTTTATTGAAGTGAACAAGCTTTCAGAAATAATGAGGTGAGAAGTAGGATAAACATACCGTAAATACCTCTAAATAAATAAGCTTGATTGTCCCAATGTTTTTGTTTTCTTAGGTTTGATCCTTACGGCAAAAACAAATTTGCAATATGCCGAATTTGTAAAAGTTCAGTTCATCAGCCAGGCTCCCATTACTGCCAGGGATGTGCATACAAAAAAGGTGAGTCATTTACTGTAAATTCTTAATGTGAATTCATTCTTGTTTCTCTTGAAGTATAAATTATTTATATTCTGAAAAATAAGATAATATTGAAGCTCAGATATTGTTGATTGTAAAAAGAGATAATCGGTTTCACTTTGCTTCTCATCCCTAGGCATCTGTGCAATGTGTGGGAAGAAAGTCTTGGATACGAAAAACTACAAACAAACATCCGTCTAATTAAATGCTGTGACTTTTTTTATTCATCAGCTTTAAATTTAGAAACAGTTGTTAAACATTATTATTCAACATATTTTTAAAAGATGCAATATTGTTTCAGAATTTGCATGAACTTCACCATTCTAGTTCTGGTTTCCAGTGTCATTGTATAGTCTTATCTCATGTGTTTATGGGTTTGTGGTAAAAGAGATCAGAAGTACCCTGGTAAATTTGATATAGTAAAAAAAAATTGATATAATGATGTAAAGAGTGGTGTGGCAATGACTTTTAATGGCCCAGTCAGAAAAAGTGAAGGGAATAATGTTATGAATGCTCACAATCTAAAGTCTGAACAAAACTGCAAATACAGTGTTCCCTCGCTACTTTGTGGTTCGCTTTTAACAGACTCTCTGTTTTGTGGATTTTTGAAAATATTAATAAAATGTCAAATATTTACGTCCAGTGGAGGCCAGGGACCCTGGAATTGCAGTGGCCTGAGGCGCGGCTGGGAGAACCTGCCTCCCTGGTCTGCTGCTGCCTGCGTTGTGCTGGAGGCTCTGCCGAGATCTGTGGGCGCCAGGGAGGCAGGCAGGCACCTTTGGGATGGGCTGGGAGGCGGGTAAGGATGTGCGAGTAAGAAAATAATATATTAAATAATATGTACATATTAAAATTAATATGGCATCCCTACTTCACAGATTTTCACTTATTGCGCGGGATCCTGGAATGGAACCCCGCAATAAGTAAGAGAACACTGTATTTCAGATTTCAGTCTCCTCACAATTTCAATTGTGAGTTTCAAGTCCATCAGCAGTAGAAGCATTGCTAATCAAAGAAAACGAGCATTAAAAAACTAATTCTGTAAACGTACACCTAATTGTTTAGAATAATGCACAACCTGTGACCCTCCAAACCAATTGCAGCAGGTTCTGTGAGAGTTATATTTTACTTGGACAAAAGCAGACAGCTATTGAACATCAAACAGATTACCATAAAAGATGGTGGGCTTCATTGAGGTCTGTGGGCCCACAGTCTGGGAACTTGGTATGTCGTAAATACACTGTTACAGACATTTCCAACATGATTACAATTAATATGATTTTGTCAGGCAGAAACCTAAATTTAGCATGGATTTGTCTTTAGCCTCAAAAATGGTGTTGAGGCATTTATTGTACATAGAGGAAAACTGTATATAAATTGTAACCAGTTTATTGTATTAAAGCAAAGGGCAATGGCCCATATTATTTTGTGTTTTCAGTGTGTGTTTTCTTACGTGCTATGTTTCTCCTCCACCTTTACAGTCCCTAAATGGTTTTGCCATGTTTCTTTTCACCTGCTTCAGGAAATGAAAAGGGAGTAGCTGGGCATGATGTTTGCTTAGGGACAGAAAATGGATAGGTGGATTACTGAGGCCCACAAAATGGAGTTGCATCTTGCTTGCAATGGCAACATTTTGCAAATTGTCATTCTCAAGTATGCATATTAGTGGAAGCCATTTAAAGTGCATGAGAAATTCCATTTGCATGTTTCTTACTCCCCCTGACTGCAAATTGAGATCACATTCAGATGCCCATATGGATGTAGGTGCTACCCTTCATCTCTCAAGGCCAGAGTTTCTCAAGCAATTCTCCTCCAGATGTTTTGGACTTCAGCTCCCACAATTCCTAACAGCTGGTAAACTGGCTGGGATTTCTGGGAGCTGAAGTCAAAAACATCTGGAGGAGCACAGTTTGTATTTTGTTAGCCATGAAATTTTGAGCACCATTCCTTTTACGATCCTTGATGTATTTTTTTTCCCCCGACTTTTTATTTTTACAATACAGAATATACATACTTTGCAGATCCTTGATGTATTTGTCGTTTTAATTCCTGGCTTGGTGGAGATGAAATGGCTAGAGTGACCAAGCACAGATGGCAGAAGCCTGGGATAGTGCCAACCAAATTTGAAGGCATGCTGTGTGGTGGCTAGTACAGCTTCCTCTTAAATAAGCAGTGGCATCACACATTTCCCATGCTTTTTGTACACCCCCTTCCATTTCCTTGCTAACATTTCTTCTGTCATGTGGGGGGGGGGGGATCACAGTTCTGAGAAATATGTGGAGCTGATGCCTTTATCTAAGCAGAGATTTGCTGCTCGCCGGCTGACAACCACAACCTGCAAATATTTTTTAAAAAGCAAACTTTAATTTTTGCCATTTTATACACAATTTTACTGTGTCATTCTACATAATGGGACATATGGATTCACAGAAGGTCCTGGAACCAAGCTCTAGTGCAGCGCTTCTCAATCTGGGGGTCGGGACCCCTGGAGGGGGTCACAAGGGGGTTTCAGAGGGGTCGTCAAAGACCATCAGAAAACATATTTCTGATGGCTTTAGGAATCCCTTTGGCAGAGAAGGCTGAAGTTCTCTCCGACTGTCCTTCTCTTCCTTTATGGAAACAGACAGCAAATCCTTTCACCAAAAGTCCTCCCAGGTCCCAATGCAACACTAATCCTTCCAGTGCGCACACTGGCTATTGATCGACCCTACCAGCAGCAAGACATGAACACTGAAAGCATCTTTATGTTTGTTGTGACATTTCATTTTCAAGGGGAATTTTAGGGAACCTTAAGTCATAGTTTTCACTGCTTAAATTTCTGCTGTGGCAGCATTCTTTAGTTTGGACAAGAGGCTTAGTTGTGGTATTAAGCAATGTCTCATAATACGGTACAGTTTAACCTCAAAACGGGGGAATTTCCTTACAGTGAAGGGAAAAAGAGATTAACACAAGAAGAAATGAAAGGCTTGTCTTACAGTCTTCAGGGTGAAAGCTTATTATCTCTTGCATGCACATTTTCCTGAATTATTCAAAATGTTATGTAACAGAAAATGAAAAATCTAGTCGCATCTTTTCCCCATATGTTTCAGAGGGAGAGGGAGCCATCATTTGTTATGTAACAGATACTGCCTGCCAAGCATAGAGAGATTTGTGCTTTCCCAATCTGGTGTCTCCCTTGCTTGGGTACGGCTTGTTCCACGGACAGGCAAACCCTGTTTCACTTGGCATATTTATTGAGGAAGATTAATCCCTATGCAGAAATGGCATTTCCCTTCTCACTAGAAATATTAATACATGGATATGGTCTAGGTCTAGTGCAAGAATAGAACACCATATTCTTGATTTTTCTTTTTCATTATAGTATAGTGCAGATTAACTCAGAGATGTAGCTCTGGAGAAGGACAAAATTGAACACATGATACGCAGACTCCAAAAGAATTATGCCTTTCTAAATGAAACATTTCTTCAGCCTCTTGGACTTCTGCTCTTTGAATACTGGCCATATCAAGTGTCAAAGAAAACTGATCTCACATCAGAAAACTTTACCAAATTGCCCATTCACAATTGTCCTTCATGTATAACACTGTATGCTACTGGGTAGAAAGCATGCTCTAGTCAAGCAAAATCATACCAATCCTGGACATGCAGAACTATTTCCAGTATCTGAAAAATTAAACTATTTTGTTTAAACCCCTGACAGGCCCAAAGGGCCTCGCAACATGGTGGAAATGTCCTTTATAGCCCATATAAGGTAAACAAATTACACATACCCAAGGGGACTTAGGGTATATAAAATGAGTCTTGCCTGAAGCCCATAGACCACAATTTGCTCACTCCTGATGTAGAATTATCTAAGACCATGGGGCATTCTTCCCAGCTGATTACCTATTGTTTATCTTCCCACTCTTGGGTTCCCGTTTTGTCTAGAGGATAGAGGTCACCATTGGCCTTTCAAGCTGCTTGCCAAGAGTGAGATGAATCTACACCGGGTTTAAAGGAGCTATCCAAAGTACCAAATCTATTTTAGGGTAGAGCTCAGTACCTTGGATACCCCTTTGGATATCTTCCAAAGCACATGCAAAGGGGGACAATAAACAGAATTTTCCAAATTGGTAACATTCCAGTTGGGCATTATGAGATTTGTAGTCCAGCACCCTAGCTGAACAAGAATTTGAATTCTGGTGTCTCGGAATCTTAATACAACACTCAAACCACTATACCAGACTGGCTCTATACTGAAAAGTCTACACTATTTGCACAGTTCCTTTCCAAAAATTTGTTATATGTTGTCATGTTGTGAATACAAAAGTAAAAGTGAAGACAAAATCACCAACAACATCTGGAATGTCTTAAAGTAATTTTAATTGTTTGAGTATAATATAAATGCATGGTAGACTACTGAGTACTACATTATGGTAAACAAAGTTAGAATCAAAAACTATAGCTCTATATTACAAGCATTTTATACACCCAGTAATGTAGTGCTACTTTTAGTTACATATAAATTTTAGCACTACTCTGAAGCAGCTATTTTTCTCTTAATAAACCTTTTTAAAAACTACTAAGAGGAAGAGGAACATGTGCTTTGTGTTCTCTTGAGAAAAGTCACAGTTCCCACCAGTGTATGACTGTGTAGGTCACTTGAACATCAACAACAGGCCAATGCAATCCTGTTTTCCTCTCAAATTGGTAAGTCAGCCTGGTTGCACCTTCTTGATCAGCTGAGAATTGTCCAAATATTATTGGATTGCAACTCCCAGCAACCCTATCCAGGCTAGCCAATGATGAGGAATGTGGGAGTTGCAGTTTAACATTCGTAGCTCTCAAAGTAGTTGTCATTGGACTGATGCTGGTCCCTGAGCTTTTGGCAACTGGTCCCTTGTCAGTTTCCATGAGAGAAATTGGGACCAATGGGATTGTCCCTGGCACATTAGGAAAAAATAATTGCTGGTCCCCGACATCAGATAACATGAGAAGCATTGCTCTTGAGGTTTTGGAAATACAAATCTCACAAACCTCAGCAAATACTCTAAACATCTTGGCTTCCTTCTTCTTTAGCTATTCTTAACTCTGCTGCACTTGATTCAGAGCAGTCGAAGAAGGCAGAAGTTGAAGTATTTTGCTACAGCATTTTGATGTTTCTGTGCTCTAATAAATACACATTTAAGTTATTAGCTGCATCCTTCTGTCTGAAATGCTGGTTGATACTTTAAAAAAATTGTCAAGAGACAGAAGAAAAGCCTTCCTTTCCTATGATGTATCAAGTCACTTCAGTTCTATAAGGCACATTTCAAGTTCTGCAGTACAAATGGTAATACTTGACAGTGGAACAAGTTTACAGTACTTTCATGGCCTAAAGAGCCATAGCACAAAGATATATTGGCAATGACGAAAACATTGAATAGAGATTTCAATTAATTACAACTGATTGAATCTCTTCAGTCAAAACAAGCTCTCCAATTAAAAACAAGATCGGGAGCCACTAGTGCATCACTTGAGCACAAATGTCTTCAAGTGTCTACTAAAGATGAACTGACTCATGTTGCATATATATATAAAACAATGCAATGCATTTCACCTAGAAGTAAGTCTGGCTCACATCAACGGGGTCTAAATAAGTATGAAAACAGCTGTACCTTTACATTTAGAATTCACTCCTTCTCTCTCAGACAACCGTGGAAAGTATTAAGACTACAAATCACGTGGGGTTTTTTTAGAGTTCACTCAATAATTCAAAATGATATCAACAAACCAGTGTAATTTCATTTTATCTATGTTTTACCTTGCCTCAAGCCACGAGAAAAGGCAGATAAATTATTATTATTATTATTATTATTATTATTATTATTATTACTATTATTTCATATATATGTTCTAAAGCACACGAGGGACTGATATTGATACTCATGTCTTGTGCATTTAAGTATCCCACTTTGTGATGAGTGAAGAACTCAGAGTGGAGAGGAAGATAATATATCTTCATTCTCACAATTAAAAATGACACCCATGAAAAGTTTGTTAGTTCTAATGACATAACATATCTAGACAATATTTTGAAAAAACAAATAGTTGAAAAAAGGCTGCAGATGTGAAGGAAATAAGGCACTGAAGAAATAATCTACTCAGGATCAATCGATTTGGGCTAGGTTGATATATGCATATAATGCACTTTGGAACTGCACTATATGGTCAATGTAGAACAGGGGTTCTCAATTTGTTTTCAGCTGTGAAGCCCTTTTTGAAGAAAAAGTTCCTTGTGGAGACCCAAAAATGTTTATATATTATACTAGCCACCCCCTGCCATGCATTACTGTGGCCCAGTCTATGTATATGTGTTTTGTGTGTGTATGTGCGTGTATATATTTGTGTATATGTGTATATATGTGGTTCTGTGCATGCATTGTAATGTATTTTTTATTTTTTGGCTTTTTAAGTCTTTTCTGCTGTGTTTTTCAGTGTTTTATGAGTGATGGTCACTTGTTGGCCTGATAGGTGTATTGTGTCCAAATTTGGTGTCAATTCACCCAGTAGTTTTTCAGTTATGTTAATCCCACAAACGGATATTACATTCTTATTTATATAGATTATTATTATATCAAGCATGGAGACATTGCATTTTAAAATTTGACAGATGGGCTGGGACAGTGGCAGATGGGTGGAGAATGTTTGTGTGAACTAATTTATAAAAACAAACAAATTCCTATGCACACTGCACATATCTCATTTGGAGTGCAAAAAAAAGAAAAGAAAAGAAATAACAATACAATATTTAAAATGAAGATACATTTTAACCAACATAAATTTAACAGTATTTCAGGGGAAGATCCCAGGATCAATCCAGTCCAATGGCCTTCTGCCATGCAAGAAAAGCGCAATCAAAAGCACCCCCAAACAGATGGCCATACAGCCTTGGTGATAATTATAATGATGATACTATTAATAATAATAGAAACCCCAGGGGCCATGCACTTCAACTCCATTCTTCCATGTAGTAAAAGCACAATCAAAGCAGCCCCAACAGATGGCCACCCAGCCTTTGTAATAGTAGTAGTGGTAGTAGTAGTAGTAGTAGTAATAATAATTGTTATTATAATGGTAAAAACCCCAGGGGGCATCCAGTTCAACCCCCTTCTGCCATGCAGTAAAAGCACAATCAAAGCACCCCAACAGATGGCCACACAGCCTTTGTAATAATAATAATAAATTAATAATAATAACAACAATAGCAGAAACCCCAGAGCCCATCCAGTTCCAACTCCCTTCTACCATGCAGGAAAAGCACAATGAAAGTACCACCTGAATAGTGGGAGGGAAATAGGGTTTTGGAAGCAAAGAAGGCTGGGGGGAGGGTCTTGGCAGCAAGAAAAAGAATCTGGTTAACTAGGGAGATGGGAGAGAAAGGGTTGGTGCCACAAGAGGACACTGCTGCTGCTTTTTCAACAGCTCTAAACTTCAATTTCCCTGCATTTCCAGGAGGTGCAGGAGGAGGAAGGAGGAGGAGGTGGGAAGCAGCATGGTGCCGCCAAGCCCCTGACTATCACTCACAGAGCCCCAAGGGCTCCGTGGAGCACATTTTGAAAACCCCTGGTGTAGACCCATATGATGCAGTTAAACTGCATTATATGGATCTACACTGAGCATACAATGCAGTTCCAAACTGAATCATAAGGCAGTGTAGATCCAACCATAGTTGGTCATTCTTTGCTGCCACCTGCACAAGCCTAGAAAAATTGAAACCACAAGCTCAACACCTAAGTTAGTAGTTTCTATTACTACACGTTTTAGTTATTATATGTTGTTCTAAACTATATGAGTAAGTTTTGTTATTCTAAGGCAAAAAAATTATGACTTTTTAGTTACTTTTACAAAAATAATATCAAAAAGGCAGCAAACCACTGGCCTATGGTACAAAAAACATTTCAGTAATGTGGATACAGACATCTTCATAGCTGCAAAAATAACTATTAACCATAACAATTATATGGGGCGGGGGGACAATTATAGTTTTTATATTATAACCATAATATAACTCAGGTCCCATCTATACTGCCATATACTGCACTTTGAATATGCATTATACGTTCAGTCCACAGTCATATAATGCAGTTTGGTGCAGTTGAACTGCATTAAAGTGTTCCCTCGTTACTTTGCGATTCACTTTTTGCGGACTCGCTGTTTCRCAGGGAAGAGGTGGAAGAGGGCTTGCTTCTATTCTTTCCCYGCCGAGCGGGGAAGAAGGAGGGGGGAGAGGAGGGGGAGGGGTGCTTGCTTCCTTTCCTTCCTTCCCTGCGTGAGCAGGGAAGGAGGACGGGGGAAAAGGAGGAGGAGAAGGGCTTGCGCCCCTACTTTGCGGATTTACACTTATCGCGAGTGGTCCCAGAACGTAACATCCGCGATAAGTGAGGGAACACTATATGGTCAGTAGACTCATATAATGCAGTTTCATACTGCCTGAGCAACATAAGGCAGTGTAGATCCAACCATAGTTGGTCATTCTTTGCTGCCACCTGCACAAGCCTAGAAAAATTTCTTTTGCACATTAAAATTTCTTTTCTTTTGCACATTAAGATTTCTTTTGCACATTAAAAATTGTAACACTTCTGGTGCTATGAAATCCTATGGAATTCTGGGATTTGTACTTTGCTGAGGCACTACTGTGCTTTGAACATGATTTTCCTGCTTCTTGGCAGGAGGTTGGACTGGATGGCCCACGAGGTCTCTTCCAACTCTATGATTCTATGATTCCACCACAGAATTCTAAATATCTTGCAAAACTATAAATCCAAGGATTCTATAGGATGAATGTAAGCCAGTTACAATGGTTTGTTGTTGCCATGTGTCTTCAAGTTGTTTCCAACCTATGGCACCCCTAAGGTGGTAATCATTGTGTTTTCTTGGTGAAATTTGTTCAGAAGAGTTTTGCTTATGCTTTCCTTTGGAGCTGAGAGAGTGTGCCTTGCCCAAGGTCACCCACCCACGTGACAGTACAGATTCAAATCCTGCTCTATAGGGTCATAATCCAATGCTCAAGCCACTGTACCACACTTGCTCCCTAGTTGCAATAGCACCAAAATGTTATTATTGTGTAGTATTAAAGAGACTGTGGTTATTATTTTTGAAAGGAATTAATTGAAGCTAACAATTAAAATTATTTTCAATCTCTGGGTATGCTTTGCTTCTTTTCTATAGAAAAGCCTAAGGTAATTGGATTCCACAGGATGTTTGCCATAACCATACAGCATTACCCAGTAGGGATAATAAAGCTGTGATACCTTTTGAAAGAAAAAAAAAACCAAACCTGGCTCACATAAAGCAATTATGTTCTGGCAATTGTTTTTTAGTGTGGGATCCAAACCCACAGAGCAGCACAAGCTGTTGCCATTTAACTCTTGATCAAGGAGAGAAACTCCTCCCTGGTTTTTGGATCTTCTCGCAAGACTCCCAGCATGGTGCTTGTCACGGTTTTGCTCTTCATTTTCTGAACGCCCCGCATGATCATACACATGTGCCTGGCAAGAAATATACAAGAAGGCGTTTTCAGGATCAAAATCTCAGCAGAAGAGACTGGTAACACATATAATCACAGACAAATTATGAAGAGCAAGGTGCTGTTTATGTGTTTAACTCAGAGCTGTCCAAACATTTCACCTTGGTGACACATTTTTTGGACATACATCACTTCAAGACACAGTAATTTGATTCTATGAGCAAACCGGAGGATCAATCAACTCCTTAAAAGAGATTCAGACAAAAACATAATTGTGATCACACAATGTATTTTCTGAAAACGTTTCATTGAAACTGTTAAAGTATTTGTAAAACAATGATGTTTCTGTCAGTTTTCGCTATGTTCACATGAAACACCTATACAGTGCAGCTGTACACTAACATGTTGTGACACACAGTTTGGAAAGCTCTGGCTTAACTAATGAACAAAATCACATCATGTTCTGTGAAGGGATTGGCAATAGTATGAAGGCAAGAGGGCAGTTCTGACCCTGCAGCACTCTGGTGAACCACACCAGATTTAGCTTCCTTTTGATCATTTCCAGTTTTGATTTACTTTATTTTTGACCAACTTTTAGTCACTTTTCTCTTTTAGGGAACATGAAGGGTAGGAATAAAGCCAATTAGTAGAGGTGTGCATTTCTTCATTAGTCATCATAAGTCATATCAAATTAGTTAAATTCATACTTATGACATGATATCTGACACATGAGTATGGCCTGTGCCAAAAACTTAACAAGCAAAACTTACCCAATACTTTTTCATTTGCATGTTGTAAACCTTTGTTTCATTTTCAGTGCAAGGAAGCAAAGCAAAACCAAAGGCTGCCTTTCCTGTTTAAATTAATAGCCTCTTGCCGTTAGTAGAGGGAAGCAGCAGGGAGAAAGCGGAGTTCACTGGGAAAGAAAGCACAGAAAGCACAGAACTCTGGGAAAGGTAGTTTGGGAAGGCAAGGAGCCCTATGCCAGAGAATTCAAAAGGCCCTGCCTTAAACTACATTTCCCAGAATTCTGCTCAGTATCAGAAAGCCCCAGTCAGGATAGGGGAGCAGCATCAGAAAGCCCCAATATAGCTAACAGCAGCCAGCCAGAGTTCCAATAAATTGTTGAATCTGCAAATAGGAGGACTGACTGGTGTTTCTTGTAAGCAAACCTTTGTACTGGGCTGGGAAGAAATCCCTAAATAGAAGTTCTATTGGTCAATATAAGAAACATTAAATGAGGCAGCTGTTGTGACTTTTAAAAAAGTTTTTGTCAAAGCTTTTTTTAAAAAGATCCTAAAATCAGTAATGTATGAATATTTCTGAAAGCTGGGGAGAATGATCCACTGTTATCTTGTGTCATTGTCTAGAAAATTCAAGGAGATAGCTCTTCTGGGAATTTTTAATATTTTTTTTTATAAAACCTTTGAAAATTCCCCAAAACTCTGTGGATAACTGAAACGTTCTGATGGGCTAACAGTGGGAAATGTGTTTCACCCCAATAGCTGTAAAAATGAGAGAGAAAAGAGCCCCTGAAGTTTCCCCAGTAATTAAAAAGGAACAAAATTTTGTTACTCTCATTATAGTAACAAAAGTTTTACTCACAATACTTTAGAAACACTTTAGAAATGAAACATCAGCACCCCCTAAATTTGTAATGACTTTTGAAACTTTTCCTTAACACACATGCCTACCAATTAGCAAATCTTGGTACATTTTTGCAGTGAATAGAAGCCATCAGTTCACAACCTTTGGTTCTCCAGGAGTTTTAGACTTCAGTTCACAGAAATCCCGGCCTTATTTATTTATTTATTTATTTATTTATTTATTTATTTATTTATTTACAATATTTCTATCCTGCCTTTCTCAGCCCAAAGGCAACTCAAGATAGCTTACAAGTTGGCAGCAATTTGATGCCATAACAATCCACAATATACAATTAAAACATTTAGAACAACATTATAAAATCCATACAAAAACTATTACAACATATAATAACCAATGTCTTCCTATTAATCACACTTTCCAGTAGCATCGTCTAAGCCGTCCCATGTTTCAATCTTACATAATTCCGTGTTTGTCTATTGCACTGCATTTCCAAAGGCTTGTTCAAAATGCCAGGTTTTCACTTTTCTTCGGAAGGTCCCTAGGGATCCCTAATATCCCTAGGGAGGGAGTTCCACAGCTGAGGGGCCACCACTGAGAAGGCCCTGTGTCTCGTCCCTGCCAGACAGGCCTGCAAAGCAGTGGCACCCTGGACTCCCATACAGCTTTGTGAAAGCAATTTGGGATTAATGTTTCAACTAATTTTCATGGGCTCATTGTCATTGGTCTCTTAAGGATCCATGGACTACAGGATTTTTAAACAACACTTGTTATAAACTCAATTGATTAAGGAAGGACTAACTTACGAGGCTTCTATGACCACAGCCACTCCAACAGGTTTCAGAGCTTCAGTGATGGCCAAGGCAATCTGTTTGGTGAGTCGCTCCTGGACTAGAAAAAGAATGGCTCTTTACGTAAAATGGGCTGCAGCTGTAATCAGTTAACAAAATCAAATACATCCTCATTTAATCTAAAGAACAAGAAAAAAAAAGTTCTGATATTTGAACACACCAAGTAAAAATAAATTAGGGCCCCAAATTGGGGCAACAATACTTACGTTATAATTTATTTTAGCTGTTTTTTTATTTTAATTTACATTGCAGAACACAGTGTTCTGCACAAGGAGAAAGTCATGAAATATTGATGAAATATAGATATGATGTGAAATAAAGGTAGAATCATAGAGTTGGAAGATACTTTGTGGATCATCCAGTCCAACACCCTGCCAAGTAGGAAAAGCACATCCAAAGCACCCCCGACAGATGGCCAAGGTAGTAATAATAATAATTACAACAACAATAACCATCATCACCATCTCAAGAGTACATGAATTTCTTCTACAACATACAGTTCTGGAATTCATGTCCTAGGGGTGCATCTACATTGTAGAATGAAAGCTATTTGACGTCGCTTTAATTGCCATGGCACAATGTAATGGAATTATGAGAGTTGTAGTTGGGTGAGGTACCAGCACTCCAGGGCAGAGAAGGCTATAGGCTTTGTGAAACCACAACTCCCGGGATTCCATAGCATTCAGCCATGACAGATAAGGGATGTCAAACTGCATTCATCCTAGTAGCAACAGAAATAATACCAACCTTGAAGCCTTCTGCTAAATATTTCAACAATTCTGGATGGAGAAAAGATTGACAGAGTTAGGAAACAACAACAACAACAGCAACAATGCAGTGTTATTTTTCCAGTTCCCATGGTGAAAAAACCTTTCTAAAACCCACCCAAACCTTATCTGAATTAACTGGCTTTGCAATGTGTAGCCAGCCACCACTTCCTTTGCCTTGTGGCTCTATTTTTTCTTCTTCTCCTTTTTACTGGAGAGCAAAAAAAATGATGCAGAGCTCCTTAAGCCCTATCTGCACTGAACAATTACAACAGTTTTAAACCATTGTAGTTGCCATTTCTGTGTCCGATGGAGTCCTGGGATTTGTAGTTTGGGGAGTTCTTTGACATATAGTTCTACTGTGGTAGTTAGAGGAAAGTGCCAGGGGTATAGCTCTCCAGTAGAGAATTTCATAAATTGTACCAAACTACAGAGTCCCTGGTGGTGTTGTGGGTTAAACCACTGAGCTGCTGAACTTGCTGATTCAAATCCAGGGAGTGAGGTGAGCTCCTGCTCCTAGCCCCAGCTTCTGCCAACTTCGCCATTCAAAAACATGCAAATGTGAGTAAATCAATAGATATCACTCCTGTGGGAAGGTAATGGTGCTCCATGCAGTCATGCTGGCCACATGACCTTGGAGGTATCTACAGACAATGCTGGCTCTTCAACTTAGAAATGGAGGTGAGCACCACCACCCCAGAATCAGACAGGACTGGACTTAGTATCAGGGGAAAAACCTTTACCTACAGATCACAGGAATCCATAAGAAGGAATCAGGATAGTTAAAGTAGTATCCAAATGCTATAACTGTGCAATGTGAACATACTCTGGGAGTCAAATTAGATTAATGGATAGTCTGTAAAACACTGAATTTTAAAAAGGAAGTGAAGGCTTTATTAATATAAGAAAGAATTGAAGAAAGGAAGGGCATTACATGCATTCTCATCATAATATCACAGGAAACTTAACTGGGTACAAATGAGTAAATATCATGTGGCAACATATTAAGGTTTTACCAGGGTTTGCTGCTCATAGGATAGAATCAAAGCTTGAAAATAATTAATAAATTATATAATTTTGGGGGAATGACAAGAACAAAATGAAGTCACATCTCATAAAGTAATGTAACAACTAGTGAAACAAGTATGTTTTCTAAATACTTTTAAAAGTTACTATTATAAGGAATTTCAGATAAATTTTGCAAGGTTGTTTTTATATTATTTACCACTTCATCAATGCCAAAAGTTTGTTTTGGAAATTAGAAAGTTACAGAAAAGAAAGAAGCAATACAACAAGAAGAGCAATACATTACTTTTAAAACTTAAGAAGTGCATTTTATAAGTTGCAGTTTTATAAAGCTTTTCGTTTTCTCTGCCAATGAGTGCTGGTGCCTTCACCAAACTATAAATCCCAAGATAGCATTGAGCCATGGCATTTAAAGTGGTGTATCTGATTTTACCTAATGCAGCAGCAAATACCTCAGGACCTGTGCACATGAACTCTGCTAGACCACATCTAATTTCTAGCTGAATGACCGCTCTCCTAGATGGCTAAAAGGTTTTAGGAAACCCAAAGACAGGGCATGAGGGCAACAGCAATCTTTTGCTTTAACTCCCCTGCGGCATACTGCATTTTACAATTCCCTATCTACCCATGATAACGCCTAGGCACTGACTGATACACATGTCCTCTGTGAATCTGAGTCATTTTAAAGTTATCTAGTGACCATTCATTTATCTTGCATCATGCATTGACATAAATGACTTAAAAGAAGAAGAATTGAAAGAACCTTGCAAGCTTGCTCAAACCAACCACTTTCTTCATTGGTAAGTATCCAATGTGGACCTGGAGAAATGAAAAGAAGATGAACAATGAGAAATACAGACAGAGAAAATGAGTTTCACTGTAAAGTGGGGCTAATGCAAAGAGTCTGCCAATATGTTTTTCCTACTGATAGCCAACTCTGCCCTGGACCATAAGAAATCTTAGGAGATCAATACCTTGCCAAAGAAAGGGACCAAGTGATGCTCACAGAGGGAGAACATCTCAATATCCTTCACAATCACCATCTCATCGTGGTCCTCATCAAAAACTGCATCATTGAGTATTTCTGCAACAAAGAAATGCAAACTATTCATGGTCGAAAGAGAAGATGATTTACTTTTTCCATTCTACTCTGACCTTGATGTTAATAATTCATCTGTGAAAACCCATATTTATAAAGCAAGAAAATACTTTTTATGGCCCTGAACATTACAGCAAATGCATAACTGAAATTTAAATATCACCATTATAATCTGATGTACTGATGTTTTATTTATTTATTTATTTGTTTATTTATTTATGACATTTCTACCCCACCTTTCTCAACCCTGAAGGAGACTCAAGGTGGCTTTACAACATAGGCAGCTATTCGATGCTTTATAAACAATGTAGAATTCAAATGAATATTTAAAATAGGATTATAAAATACATCAAAACATTTAAAAACATGTAAACCTATATCATCACTGTTAAACCACACTATTCATAATCGTAATCCGGGCCATTCCAATAGTCCTTGCACATAATTCTGTATTTGTCTATTGCACTGGTTCTGCCATGGCTTGATCAAAGAGCCATGTTTTCACTCTTTTTTTGGAAGGTCATGAGAATGGGAGCTGATCTAATATCCCCTGGGAGGGAATTCCACAGCCAAGGGGCCACCATTGAGAAGGCCCTGTCTCTCACCCCCATCAGTCCTGCCTGCAAAGAAGGTGGGACCGAGAGTAGGGCCTCCCTGGACTCCAAGATGGTTCAAAAGGAAAGATCCATTTGGACAGGTAAGCTGGGCCAGAATGGTTTAGGGTTTTATAGGCTTTGATGTTTGTTATCAAATTAACTGTCATAGTTATAGAAACCTGGCATTTATAGTTTATTGTGACACCAGAGCTCTCTAAAGGAGAAATGGTGAATATCTTAAAAAAAAACTCCAAATCCCCAGAATTCTATAGCATTGAGCCATTGAAGTTAATGTGTTCTCAAACTGCTTTAATTATGCAGTGTGAATAGAGCTGCCAGCAATAGGCTGGCATTCTCCTATGTCCAAGACATACTTTTTGTTTTCCCAAATCTGGAGTGCTCCAGGTGTGACTGAGTGGACATATGTGACTACAGATAACAGCAGTTGTAGCATAGGAGTAGACATGACTCCTGTTCTTGTCATCTCTGACCATTGGCTATGCCACAGCTGATGGGAGCTGAAGTCCAACATTTCCACCCCAAATTAAAGTAACCTGATCTCTAGTGAATGAAATCCTTATATTCCAGTGTGAAATGTTCAGCAGCCCAATGCTGTGACTGGGGATTTTCCAGTCCTTTTATTGGGGTTGAGTGCTGTTCTAGCCAAAGAACAACTCCGAATTCCATGTGATTATCATACGTCAGGGCATCTATGCTTAATTTGGCTCCACATTTCAATTTGTGAACCATGATATAGAATCAGTGAATCACAGTGTTGGAAGCAACCACAACAGCCAGCCATCCCAACCTGGACCAGAACACCCTGACAGATGGCCATTCAGCCTCTGCTTGAAAACCTCCAGAAACTGAGACTCCATCACACATTTTATTGCTTAGAACAAGGACCAAGTGAAAACACACAGAGAGTGTGATATTGGAGCAATTATTCAACTTGTACTAATCTTTAAACCCTGTCCATTCATTCATACATACAAAAAATATATTAAGCAACACTCCTCAGTTCCCAACTGGTGGCAAATGATTGGATTACAGCAATAATCTAGTAACCCTGGAAAACAAGATGAGGATTTGTAAAAGGATTGTTAATTGACCTGCTTCTGGGAAGTATTGAAAGAAAGGAAATAAAGAAGCTGATTACTGTAATCTGATTTTACTGTAGCATTGACAGAAATTGTGAGCAGAATTTATTTTTGCTATGTTACTAGAGATTCAAAGGTAAAAAGAAAAAGAGAGATAATAGTCCCATGTATTATGTAAGGGAACTGTTTCAGTAAGGTAAAGGTTTCCCTTGACCTTAAGTCTAGTTGAGTCCAACTCTAGGGGGTGGTGCTCATCTCCATGTCTAAGCCAAAGAGCCGGCATTGTCCATAGACACCTCCAAGATCATGTGGTCAGCATAACTGCATGGAGTGCTGTTACTTTCCTGCCTAAGCGATACCTATTGATCTACTTAAATTTGCATGTTTTCGAACTGCTATGTTGGCAGAAGCTGGGGCTAACAGCAGGAACTCACCCCCATTCTTTGGATTTGAACTGACAACCTTTTGGTCAGCAAGTTCAGCAGCTCAGCTGTACCACTCTGTTTCAGTACCCTTCACATAATAAGATTTTTGCACAATGCCTATTTTTCTTACCTGAAATGAATGGTATCTAGGCTTCCAGTTGAAGCATACTCTAAAGTTGCTTGAAGGAGGGCTTAGGCCCCTTCTACTCTAGATAATCAAGGTAGATAATCCATATGATCTGCTTTGAGCTGGATTATATGAGTTTAGATTGCCATATAATCCAGGTCAAAGCAGATAATCTGAATTGTAGATTGGAATTTCGGGGTACGGTGCTATCTGTACGCAGATGGTGTCCAACTCTGTCACTCCTTCTCACCTGCTACTAAGGAGGTTGTTCAAGTCCTGAACTGGTGCTTGGACGCTGTAACGGACTGGATGAGAGCGAACAAATTGAAATTAAATCCAGACAAGACAGAGGTACTCCTGGTCAGTCACAAGGCTGGACAGGGGATAGGGTTACAGCCTGTGCTTGATGGGGTTACACTCCCCCTGAAGGTGCAGGTTCTCAGCTTGGGAGTGTTCCTGGAATCACCGCTGAGCCTAGAACCCCAGGTTTCGATGGTGGCCAGGGGAGCTTTTGCAGAGTTAAATATTGTGCACCAGCTGCTCCCATACCTTGGGAAGTCTGATTTGGCCACGGTGATCCACGCTCTGGTTACATCCCCAATAGACTACTGCAACGCACTCTATGTGGGGTTGCCTCTGAAGACTGCCCGGAAGCTGCAACTAGCTCGGCAGCCAGATTGCTCATGGGAGCTGGGTACAGGGAACACACAACTCCCTTGTTACGCCAGCTCCACTGGCTGCCAATTAGCTTCTGAGCACAATTCAAAGTGCTGCTTTTAACCTACAAATCCCTGTACAGTTTCAGCCCACTTTACCTGCCCAACTGTATTCTCCCCTATAAACCATCAAAGGCATTAAGATCTTCCAGAGAGGCCCTGCTCTCGGTCCATCCACGTTCACAGTCGTGGCTGGTGGGAACGAGAGAAAGGGCTTTCTCCATGGTGGCCCCCTGGCTATGGAACTCTCTCCCGAATGAAGTCAGGTCTGCTCCCTCCCTCCTGATCTTCAGGAAGCAAGTGAAATCCTGGCTGTGCAAAGAGACCAGTAAAGACTAAAGTTATTGGACCACAATGTGTGGACTGAGTTGGACGTTGATTTTACCTGGTGAATGGTTTTATATGTATTTTAACATTATATGTATTTTAACTTATTGTTTTATGGATGTTGTTTTAAAATGTTATTTATTGAATTCTTGCTGTTAGCCATTCTGAGTTCTAAATATAAAAGATCTAAATCAGTGTTTCTCAACCTGGAGGTCAGGAGCCCCGGGGGGGGGGGGGTGCGAGGGGGTGTCAGAGGGGTCACCAAAGACCATCAAAAAACACAGTAGGTTCTTGTGGGTTTTTTCAGGCTATAGGGCCATGTTCTAAAGGCATTTCTCCTGACGTTTCGCCTGCATCTATGGCAAGCATCCTCAGAGGTAGTGAGGATGCTTGCCATAGATGCAGGCGAAACGTCAGGAGAAATGCCTCTAGAACATGGCCCTATAGCCCGAAAAAACCCACAAGAACCTAGTGATTCCAGCCATGAAAGCCTTCGACAATACAGAAAACACAGTATTTTCTGTTGGGCATTGGAGTTCTGTGTGGGAAGTTTGACCCAATTCTATCAGTTTTGGGGTTCAGAATGCTCTTTGATTGGAGGTGAACTATAAATCCCAGCAAGTGCAACTCCCCAATGTCAAGGTTATTTCCCCCAAACTCCACCTGTGTTCATATTTGGGCATTTTGAGTATCAGTGCCAAGTTTGGTCCAGATCCATCATTGTTTGACTCCACAGTGCTCTCTGGATGTAGGTGAACTACAACTCCAAAACTCAAGGTCAATGCTCACCAAACCCTTCAAATATTTTCTGTTGGTCCTGGGAGTTCTCTGTGCCAAGTTTAGTTCAATTCCATCATTGGTGGAGGTCAGAATGCTCTTTGATTGCGGGTTAACTTTAAATCCTAGCAACTACAGCTCCCAAATGACAAAGTCAATCCCACCAACCTCATCAATATTCAGATTTGGGCGTATCAGGTATTTGTGCCAAATTTGGCCTAGTGAATGAAAATACATATCAGATATTTACATTACGATTCATAACAGTAGCAAAGTTACAGTTATGAAGTAGCAACGAAAATAATGTTATAGTTGGGGGTCACCACAACATGGGGGACTGTATTAAGGGGTCGCGGCATTGAGAAGGTTGAGGACCAGGGTTGTGAGTGAATGAATGAAGTGTAGAAAGAGGGCTAAGAAAATGCCTTGGGAAACGTTCTCTCTAAGCTTCCACCAGCGCACTTCTATGGTCAACTTCTAGCAAGTTGTGTAGTGGTTTCCAGACAGCATGGAAGGTTCATTCCTTCCAAACCCCCTGGAGGGAGGGCCGAAGTTTGCCCAGGCCAGTTCTCGTCGCTCCTCCTTCCTCCCTTGGAGCCACCAGCCGAGTCCCTTCCTGGCACGGGAGAGAGGTGCCAGGGGCGGGGGAGACTCACCTGCGACGCTCTCGCGGTAGCCCTTGGTGAAGAACTGCATGGCTTTGGCCGCCCGCCGGGGGGTCAGCTGCAGCCCTTGCCGCTCGGGGTTCTCCCCCAGCCCGCGGAGGATGCGGCAGTAGGCGGCCTCTAAGGCGGGCAGGAGCGCTTGCTGCTCCTCCTCCTCCTCCCCCTCCTGCTCCTCCTCGCCTTGGCGCTCCCGGGAGGAAGGGCACTTGTCTGCGGGAAGGTGAGGGCGGGGAGGAGGCGGCGGGGGCTGCTGCTGCTGCGGCTTCTCCCGGCCTCTCTTCTCCACCGCCTCCTCGCCGGCCACGGGCAGCAAGAAGCCCCCGTTGAGGTAGTCCCCGTTGAAGGTCTCCATGCCTGGCCGAGAGGACCCAATCCGCGCCCTTGAAGCTTGGAGGGGCCGCTGGGGGGCTGTTCGGGCGGAGTGAGAAGCAGCTGTGTAGTTAGGGCTCTCCTCGATTCCTCTCTAGCCTGGCTCTGAAACTGGGGGGCCCCCTTCAGTTACCCCTCAAGTCTCCTGAGTGCCTTGTTAGCCTAGCGGTGGACTTCGGGGTCTCTGGCTGTACTTTTGGGGGTCCCCTCAGTTGCCTCTAGAACCTAGTTGTCTCTCTAGACTCCTCAGTTGCCTCCTCACTCGCTTTTCCAATCTCCCCAGTGCCTTGATAGTCTAGTTGTGGACTTTGGGGTCCCTTCAGTTCCTCAGTCTTGGCTGTGCAATTAGGGGTCTCCTCAGTGCCTCCTTAGCCTGGCTCTGAAACTGGGGGCCCCTTCAGTTGCCTCTGTAGCTTAGTTGCTTCTCTAGTTTCCTGAGTGCCTTGTTAGCCTAGTTGTGGACTTTGGGGTCTCTTCGGTTCCCCCTTAGTCTTAGCTGTGCAATTAGGGGTCTCTTCAATGCCTCTCTAGCCTGGCTCTGAAACTGGGGGTCCCTTTAGTTGCCTCTGTAGCCTAGTTGCCTTTGTAGCCTAGTTACCTCTGTAGCCTAGTTGCCCCTCTAGTTTCCTGAGTGCCTTGTTAGCCTAGTTGTAGACTCCAGGATCTCTGGCTGTGCAATTGGGGGTCCCCCAGTCGCCTCTCTAGTCTCCTCAGTTTCCTCCTCACTCCCTTCTCCTGTCTCCTCAGTGACTTACTAGCCTAATTGTGAACTATGGGGTCCCTTCAGTTCCCCCTTAGTCCTTGCTGTGAAGTTAAGGGCCTCCTCAATGGCTCTCTAGCCTGGCTCTGAAACTGGGGTCCCTTCAGTTGCTTCTCTTAAGTCTCTTGAGTACCTTGTTAGCCTAGCTGTGGACTTCGGGGTCTCTGGCTGTGCAGTTGGGAGTTCCCTCAGTTGCCTCTTTAGTCTCCCCAGTTGCCTCCTCAGTCGCTTTCCCAGTTTCCTCGGTGCCTTGAAAGCCTAGTTGCGGACTCAGGGATCCCTTCAGTTCCCTCTTAGCCTTGGCTGTGCAATTGGGTCTCTCCTCAACTGCCTCTGTAGCCTAGTTGCCTCTCTAGACTCCTCTCTCGCTTCTCCAGTCTCCTCAGTGCTTTGTTAGCCTAGTTGTGGACTTCGGGGTCTCTTCAGTTCCCTTTTAGTCTTGGCTGTGCAACTGGGGCTCTCCTGGGTTGCCTCTCTATCCTGTCTATGAAGTGGAGGCTCTTCTCCGTTCCTCGCTCCTAGTCTTCTCTTCTCCTCTCTCTCGAGGGCGAAGGGACCCTGGCCCGCAGCCTTGTGGGCTCTTTATGAATGGCAAGGCCAGGCCTTGCGCCGGTCAGCTGGGCGGGCGGGGCTCTGAAGGGGCCCTTTGTCACCTGGCGCGGGCTAATCGGCGGAGACACGAGCGTTAGCTACGCCGCCACGCCACACGCGATCCTTGGACGAGCGGAACCGCATTGGCCACAGTCGCGCTTGCCCCTCCCCGGGGGCTTTTTCCTGCCTTTTGGGAACCGAACCCGAGGAAGGAGGGAAGGAAAGAAAGCTGCGTGTTAGGCCAAAATGCACACCACCCGACCAGGGTCGGATTAATAAATCATCATCATCATCATCATCTGTTAAATCCCATCAGCACCCAGCATCCTTGGAGGTATACTTGACATTTTTTCTCCCCCTCTGTTGACCAGTGTCCAACTGGGTGCTGCATTTGTTCCCAATTTCAATCTGCATTTCAATGTGCTGCCACATTAAGTTTCAGCACATTGGCTAGATCAGGGTCTCTGATCTAACCAATGCACAAACCCGGCTGTTAGGAATGGTGGGAGTTGAAGTCCCATCATTCCTATTTATTATTTACTAGCTTTACCCACCACGCCTTGCTGTGGCCAACCTTCACTCCCTCTTTCTCTCCTTCCTTCCCTCTTTCCTTCCTTCCCTCCTTTTCTTTCTCTTCTTCTTTCTTACTTCTCTACCTGTTTCTTTCCTCCCTTCCTTTGCTCTTTGGCTCCTTCCTTCCTTCCCTCTTTCTCTCCTTCTTGCCCTCTCTCTTTCCTTCCTTCTTTCACTTTTTTATTTCCTTCTCTCCTTCCTTCCTCTTCTACCCTTCTTTCTTTCCTTCCTTCTCTCCTTCCCTTTCTTTCCCTCTTTCTCTCCTTCCTTCCCTCTTTCCTTCCTTCCCTCCCTTTCTTTCCCTTCTTCTTTCTTACTTCTCTACCTGTTTCTTTCCTCCCTCCCTTTGCTCTTTGGCTCCTTCCTTCCTTCCCTCTTTCTCTCCTTCTTGCCCTCTCTCTTTCCTTTCTTCTTTCACTTTTTATTTCCTTCTCTCCTTCCTTCCTCTTCTACCCTTCTTTCTTTCCTTCCTTCTCTCCATCCCTTTCTTTCCCTCCTTCTCTCCTTCCTTCCTTCTTTCCCTCTTTCTGTGTATATGTGTTTTGTGTGGGTATAAATGCATATATGTGTGTGTATATATTTATGTATATGTACATATATGTGGTTTTGCACATGCGTTGTAATGTATATTTTTTGCTTTTTAAGTCTCTTCTCCTGTTTTCAGTGTTTTAATGAGTGATGGTCACTCGTTGGTCTGATAGGTGTATTATATCCAAATTTGGTGTCAATTCGTCCAGTGGTTTTTGAGTTATGTGAATCACAGAAACAAACATTACATTTTTATTTATATAGATTTATTTATTTGCTACAGGCGACTCGGGGTGGTTTAAATGGCAACAATTCAATACCAACATCATAAAAACTTTAAAACATTTAAAAGCAATAACATATCAATTAAGACCATAACAATAGTAAAAAAAAAAACAACAAGTCATTTCATCTCTTAAACAAAAATGTCATCCCAACTCATAATCCAATTGCTCCATAATCCAATGTATGTTACACTGCCTTTTCAAATGCCTGCTCGAACAACCAGGTTTTGTCTTTTCTTCCGAAATAGGGCAATGGATACAGATTGTTCACTTACAATATAGGGCAACAGATACAGATTTGACATCAAACACTCTCTGCTTCATTCAGAAAAATGCTGCACTTTCAGAGCTCAGGTGGTGTTATATTTCAGTGTCAATGAAGACTTTTGTGGAGAGGTGGCTGCCAAGGTAGCAAAAATGGCTGACATGTTCTAATGTTACACCATGAAGCTGTATTTTGGCATTATAGAGGGATTGGCTGGTGACTGCTGGAAGAACACTTTGGTTTTCTCGATGATCAATGAGGCCGAGCTTCTCATATGCCACTGCAAAGGTGTTTAGAGTCGATTGTAGGTCTTTTTCTGAATGTGTACAGACTACAGATTCTCCAGAGTCATAACTGTTAAGGCATGAAAACCCACTGAGTGTCCACATACTCTTAGTCTCAGAAGCCCCCCATAACAATGTCTTAGAGTAGCCCTTGGGCACAAATTACTTGGAGGCATACGACAATAACAAACCTATTTGCTGATCAGGTTCAGTGTCTTGGATAACTCCTTTAAAGTTCATACCAGCTTTGTGAGCAGTCCATCACTTCACTGACATGAAAGGAACTAGCTGGCACAAAAACGTCAATATAGTACATAACTTTTTCAGGTCTTGCCTGAGCAATATGTGAAAGAAGGAATGAAATCAGCTTCTTGTTGTTATAGGTCTAGTCCTAATCACTCAAAAGTAGTAGGCAGTCATGGAAGCACTGTTTGAGCTTAAATACAATCTAAGGAAGTGAATGGGAAGACAGGATCATTGTATTGATGGTGAGTTGAATGATTGCATTTATTTACATTTCTGGAAATATCAGAAGAAGAGCATAATAATATCACTGAATACTACAGTTAGGATTGCTGGGATTTGCAGTGCAACATTATCAGGAAGGCCATCATGATCAGGAAGGCCCCTACTTTATGGGATTCTGCATTCCCTTTTTAACAAACACTACACAGATAATGAACCATGCCTAGGCTGAGAATATCCCTTTTGTAAAGCCCGTGTAACCATTTTAATATGGTTGCTGGCCATACGAATGTCAGCTGCTAGTAGTGATGCTCAATTTTACAACAGTTTAATTGAAGGAAACAGAATGGCAACATGGATATAATATGGAAAAGTTTTGATGAGCTTTTATTATTTGTTTTCAAATCCCTAATTTAACAAGAATGCTAGGGAAAGCAATACTCAATTTTTTCTTGCTCTATGTTGGCTGGGGGGTTATTGAAGTCAATAGTTCAAAACCATTTTCAAAAACTTAGAAGAGGGGGGAAAACTTTTCAATCTCACTTTATTGTGTAGTTCTAATTGCTATCGCCTTCAAGAGAAGATAGAGAAGCCCTCTTAAACATACCAGCACCTGCCAGTATCCACATTTTGAATATGTGGCTAAGATCCACCTGTATTTTTATAGAGTGTAGAATGTATTTACTATGGAGTTGTGATCAATTCCTACTATTGCTACATTAAAAAGTTTAATACAACAGTCATCAATGAAGGATATGCCCCCGGACTCCAAGTGAATATGTGAAACTGCCAATAAGAGTGAACTGCCAATAAAAGTGAAAGCACCGGGATTGTGGCACAGCTGGCTGAGTGTCAGCTGCATTAAGATCACTCTGACCAAAAGGTCATGAGTTTGAAGCCAGCCCGGGTTGGAGTGGGTTTCCAACCAATTGTGTGTAGCCTGTTGGTGACCTTTGCAACCCGAAAGACAGTTGGGTCTGTCAAGTAGGAAAATAAGGTACCACCTTAAAGTGTGGGGAGGCTAAATTAACTGATTTATGAGGCCATAAAGAAGACTCCAGCAAAGCATTCCAGCGGGGAAGCATGCGGGAATGCTAAGTGATTCATCAGCGTTGCAGATGGACGATGAAAGAGGCAGCTCCCCGGCGGCCAGAAAAAGTTAAATATCCTCTGTGTATGTCTGTATATGTTTGTATGTCAAAAATTGGCATTGAATGTTTGCCATATATGTGTACACTGTAATCCGCCCTGAGTCCCCTGCGGGGTGAGAAGGGCGGAATATAAAAGCTGTAAATAAATTAATGAATGAATGAATGAATAAATGAACCCTATTACAATGAAGGGTTTCAATTCCAGGAGTATTATAGAGTCATGCTGGAAGACCTAGAAAATGCATAGAAAGACCATATTTTGTTGTAAGTGGATAGATTAAACTACTTTTCAAATAATCTTTAAAATTGTGAACTTCAGAAGACACCAGACACAGATCCAGGTGAGACATCAGGAGAGAATGCTACTGGAACATGGCCATACAGCTCGAAAAATTGTAGCAAGTTATTGGTGGTATGGGGATACCAAGCCACCTTGTCTGTCTCCTGAGGAATTTGTATAATGATCAAGTAGCAACAGTAAAAACAGATAATGGAACAACAGACTGGTTAAAGATTGGGAAAGGAGTAGGGCAGGGCTGTAGACTCTCACCCAACCTATTTAACTTGTATGCAGAACACATCATGCAACGTGCAGCACTTGATGAATCAAAGGCTGGAGCTAAACTTGCTAGAAGAAACATTAACAACCTTAGATATGCAGATGATACCACTTTGATGTCCGAGGAGCCTTCTAACCAAGGTGAAAGAAGAAAGTGCAAAATCTGAGTTGCAGTTTAACATAAAAAACCAAGATTATGACAACCAGACTGACTGATAACTGGCAAATAGAGGGAGAATACATGGAAGCAGTGACAGACTTTGTATTTCTAGGCACAAAGATTACTGCAGACATAGACTGCAGCCAGGAAATCAGAAGATGTTTACTTCTTGGGAGGAGAGCAATGGTCAATCTCAATAATATAGTTAAAACTATTTTACACTGGCAATGAAGTTCTGCATAGTTAAAGCAATGGTATTTCCCGTAGTAACCTATGGATGCGAGAGCTGGACCATAAGAAAGACTGAACTGTGGTGTTGGAGGAAAATTCTGAGAGTGCCTTGGACCACGAGAAGATCCAACCAGTCCATACTCCAGGAAATAATGCCTGACTGCTCACTGGAGGGAAGGATATTAGAGGCAAAAATGAAGTACTTTGGCCACATAATAAGAAGTCAGGAAAGCTTGAAGAAGACAATGATGTTGGGGAAAATGGAAGGAAAAAGGAAGGATGGTATCCTTGAAGTGGCCTTGAAGGAGCTGGGGGTGGCGACAGCCAACAGAGACCTCTGGCGTGGGCCGGTCCATGAGGTCACAAAGAGTCAGAAGCAACTGAATGAATAAACAACAATATATCATTCTATGATTCCACTTTAAGTGCCATCCTGTGAAATCTGAAGGATGTCAA